TACTACGACTACTACTGCTACTACTTCTTCTTCTACTACTACTACTTACTACTCGACTAGTACTCCTGTTACTACGACTTCAAAAACAACAACTACTACTAATACTACTACGAATACTTCTACCACCGCTTCTTCTACTACTACTACTACTACTACTACTAATCATACTACTATACTACTACACTACTACTACTACTACTACTACTACGTACTACTACTACTACTACCACCAATACTACTATACTATTACTTCAACTCATACCACCGCTGCAACTAGTACTAGTACTACTACAACTATTCGCAGTACGACTACTACTACTGCTGCTACGACTACCACTACTGTTAACATTACGACTACTTCTACTACTACCACTACTACTGCTCTGCTACTACTACTACTACTACTACTACTACTACTACTACTACTACTACTATACTACTACTACTACTACTACTACTACTACTACTACTACTACTACTACTACTACTACTACTACTACTACTACTACTACTACTACTACTACTACGACTACTACGACCACTACGACCACTACGACCACTACTACGACTACTACTACCGCCGATCCGGCGTGTGAGTTTAAGAAACCTACAACCTGAGCTTCAGCTCTGCTGGGGGGGGGCCGGGGGGGCTCTGCGGGGTAGGTGGGGGAGGGGGGGGGGTCATGGAGTCCACCCTTTCTTCTTCCCCCCCCCCCCCGGGAATCCCAAACCGCCCCAAGACGGGCCAAAAAGGGCCCAGGAGGCCACCAAGACGGTCCAGGAGGCGCCCGAAACGGCCCAAGAGCGCTCCTGGACGCCCAAGATGGCCTGAAGACAGAGGACCCCCAAGAGGGTACAATAATAAAGTTGCTAATAGGTTTTGGAACATTTTAACATTATCGCCTTTTCCGTCTTAGAAGCGCCGACGACGGTCCAAGAGGCCCCCAAGATCGCCCCAGAACAGCCCAAGTGGCCCCCAAGAGGAGCCAAGACAGTCCAAGAGGGCTCCAATATAGCCCCGGAGGCCCCCCCAAGACGACCCCGAGAGGCCACCAAGATGGCCTCAAGAGGGTGAACCCGAACGGACCCTTCTAGTCCTCCACCCCAAGATGACCCCAAGAGCCCCCAAGATGCCCCCGAGGAGCCCACAAGGGGCCCCCAGAGGCCCCCAAGAGTTCCCCAAGAGGCCCCCAAGAGGACCCCGAGAGGCCCCCAAGTGGCCCCAAAGGCCCCCAAGAAGCCCCAAGAACCAAGAGGCCCCAAGAGGCGCTCACTCGCGTGCTGCCAGGCCAGAGGTGCACGGCCTGACTTGGTATTGCTCGGAAGCGAAAGCGATGAACGAAGAACCTTCCACCCGTCGCCGTCACCTGTCGTCGGTCGTCGGCCGTCGGCAGCCGTTCGCCGTCAGTCGTCGTCGTCGTCGTCGTCGTCGTCGTCGTCGTCGTCGTCGTCGTCGGTTCGTCGTCATTAACTTCTTCGTCGATCGTCGTCGTCGTAATTATCCCGCTCGTCGACCGTTGGTCGTCCGTTGTCGTCGTCATCGTCCATTTCAACAACAATAGCATCAGGAGCACCCCGGATCGGCGGCACTGGCCGGAAGCCACTACAATATGAAAGGGCGCGCCCGTCGCGACCGGGGTACGAAAAGGGGGGCCCCAGCTTCAAGCTACCCCCCCCCCCTTCCTTCCAAAAGGGGGGGGGAGCTTCCGAAGCTAACCCCCTCCTCCCTCCCTTTTGCAAGGTTTTCTAAGCTGAGGGGGCTCTGGCTCAAGGGGAGGGGCTTCGAAACTACCCCCCCCCTCCCCCCTTTTTTGGAGCAGAAGGTGAACCCGGGCTTACCTTTCAAAGGGGGGGGGCCTCGGAAGCTACCCCCCCCCTTCCTTTTTGGTTTGGACAAAGGGCGGGGCGGCTTCAAGCTACCGCCTCCCTGTGCAAAGGGTGGGGCTTCCGAATCTACCTCCCCCCCTCCTACCTTCCGGGGCTCGGGCAAAATGGCGGAATCTCTGACGACAGGTGCGCACCGCAGCGCTAGAGAACGAATTGGAGAATAACGTCGACCCCTGGTTCGTTCTCTTGTTTTCTGTTTTCTCGCACCCTGGTTCGTAGTCTCGTTTTCTCTGACCCTGCGTCGTTTGCTTGTGTTATCGTTTTTGTTTGTATTGTTGTTTCGTGTTCTCGGCTCTTGGGTGGCGGCCTCGTTTTCTCTGATCCTGGTTCGCGTTCTCGTTTTCTCGCTTTCTGGGCTCCTGGGTTGTGGTCCAGTTTTCTCGGACCCTGCTTTGTTTTCTCGTTTTCTCGGCCCCTGGGTCGTGGTCCAGTTTTCTCAGACCCTGCTTCGTTTTCTCGTTTTTCTCGGCCCCTGGGTCGTGGTTTTGTTTTCTCGGACACTGGTTAGTATTGTCGTTTTCTCGTTGTCGCGGCCCCTGGGTGGTGGTCGTGCATTCTCTGACCCTGCTTCGTTTTCTCGTTTCTTCATTTTCTCTGCTCCTGGGTCGTGATC